ACTCCACCCCGTGGAATAAAGCGTCCAACCTCTGACTTGTAAGTGTGAGGCGTTAGCCACAGAGCCGGGAAAGAGCACCTCCTTAAACGTTCAAACTACTAGTTATATATGTCGACCACTTACTGCTGGCGATTGCTATCTCAGGAGGAACTATCGTGTTTTCAGCATTACCAGCGAGATGACTCAATGAGCGCGCGTCGCCAAATCGTCACGACGCAGTGGCGCGTGCTTTCATCTCCTTCATCTTCATCTATCTATCTATCTATCTATCTATCTATCTATCTATCTATCTATCTATCTATCTATCTATCTATTTATCTACCCGCCTACGACTTATAGCTTTCCTGGGCGTTTCGATGACAGAATCTGTACCAAAACTATTATGGGATGACATCACTGCATGACGAGCATAAGTCACTAGTCAAGACAAGAAAATTGTTTCATGTATGTCAAGAATCTCATGATTTCCATTTTATAGTCTTGCTGCTCTTGCGGAAGTTTTGTTCACTTGGTATTGCTAAACTGGTATGTTAATTCAAGATTGCATGGAGAACGTTAGTGGCAGGCCTCAACTTATAAATGAAGACATGCATGTCATTTAAGCTATGGCTATACGCAATTCATGTGCGCTCGTGGTCATTTTGTTGGCTTCCCATATACCAACATTAGTACTACGTGGCTTCAATGTATGACGAAGGAATATGATTGGTGAAAACACTATAATCATGACATGCGTGTCTTGTGCGAACATGTCTACATGTCACGCTCTTGATGTGCTGTGGGTGATACGCTAGCTTCACATATACCAAATTTGGTATTTCGTAATGTAAAGGCCAACGAAGGTAAGCGACACGTCCAAACATGACAATCATGACATGCGTGTCATGTAAGAGCATGGCTACATGGCATGCTCATGATGATCTCATGGCCGTTGTGCTTGCATAACATAAACCCAATTCGGCATTACGAGACGCGAATGGATGGTAAAGGTAAGTACACGTCCAAAAATGATAAACATGACATGCGTGTCACATAAATCATGACTACATGTTACGTTCTTGGCGCACTCGTAACCATTTTGCTAGCTTCACATGTACCAGATTTTGTATCAAGTGACGTGCATAGACAATGGAGATATAATACTAGTCCAAAAATGCTAATGGGGTTGTTCGTCTCGGCATCAACAACCCCATTAGCATGTTCGGGCAAGCTGGAACAGACGCGGCCCGAACCTTGACCGCCAACGCTTCTCTGCCGTAAGCTGCCTGACCTTGTCGCCTCTCGGTCACTTCTACAACCTTCCTCTTCTTCCCGCTGCCTGAAGTGTGGCGTCACCGTGCATCACACACATTTTAATCTTCTTCTGCAGTTATTCAAAAGCGTGTTTTTTTTTTTAATTTTCCGCTACTCCCATCACATTCCCCCAAGTTTTCAGAACGTTGTTCGCGGACACAACTCGCGTAGACGCGGCACAACGGCGCATAACAAATATCTCGTATTTCACCATCGCGCACATGCACAGCACTTGCTGGCGCAGCACCACTAGGGCCCGTGGGCTCACGCACCAGCACACCACAGCAGCTCACACTAAGGCGCACACACCCTCCCGGCTCTCACACCGGAATACGTGCGCACACGCAGAATGCACACCACACGCTGTACGCGGTGGGTTACTTCTGGTATTCACTTCGTTGCGACAAGCACTAGCTTGTCATTGTCAGTAGAATTTTTGTTGCATCGCTTGAGCCCTTTGGCCTGGTAACGCCGTTGGTGAACCTGGGTATGTGAGGGTTGAAGTGCCAACGTCCGATGCATTTGTACACATGGTTTGTCAGCGCCACAAAAACGGTGTGCGCCGGGAACTCCTGTCTGTAGCAAACACAGCTGACCACGTTAGTGGACCCCTGTTTAAGTGCTGCCTCCTTCGCCGGCGCATTGGTACCATCAGGGACGCGCACGCAGGCGATGGCGTTTCATCTCCTCTTGATGTAGAGCTCCAGCCAGATAGCGGCGATTGCGGTTGTGACTTAAGCCATGACGTAGATGACAGCCATCGAGTTCCATAAGTGGTTGGCTTTGCTTGGTGTTTATCCGCGCACTCCGTCCGATAATAATTGTTTGCCGCAGCTGGATTCCTCTCTGTGATGAGTGAAGAAAACGACGACAACGACGGAAGTTCGGAGCAAGGCGCGTGTGGTTTTGAGCCAACGGTGCGCGTGAGGTCATCCAATCAGCTGATGACCTCTGGTGGCCGATAGAGGTGGCGTGCCACGATTGGGTCACGTGTAACCATTACGTGGCGGTTAGCTTTGTGGCTGGGGACGAGCCAAACATTAGCAGACGGAAGACAGCGCGCCAAAGCGTCGCACGCAGGCGATCCAGGTTCCGGCCAGAGAACGCGGCTGTCCATGCTACTGCCGTGCAACTACCAGCTGGGGTAGCACTGCCGGCACGAGTACTGCATCTCGGTCCGTGGCCTGGCCTGCTTTTCCCTTCCTTGCCGAGGGCATTGCGGATCTCGGCGAGGCGTCTCCACGGTCAGCCATTCGGCACAGCGATGAACGTGGCCTGGCTAATGGTCATGGTTGCGCCGAGCATCGCGTCTCGCCGCAAGCTCTTCGCTGGACGGGCTGGCCATTCCACGCTTGGAGCATCACGCCTCCGATGCGGGTTGACTGCTTCGTAGTCACACCCATGCCATCAAGCGCCGGCGTCACCAGAGCGCCGAACATCGAAAAGTGAGCGTATTCCATAGCGTCTTTCCACCGCCTCCTGCCCTGCACCTCATCGGTGTCGGCCGTACCGCCGATCTGGCCCTCAGGATTTAGAACGCTTTTACTTTAACTATAATTGGTCATTTCTTAATCAAGCTTAGTTATCTCTGTTGCATTGTATGTACCTTTTCTGCCTTAGTGTTTTCCATGTTTAGTTTCCGTGTTCTGTCATTAACGTCAAGTGTTGTTATCGCGCCATCTCTCTCAGTTCATTTCTCCTAACACGGCACGGAAAACAAGCATGACGAACCTTGGCCCCGATAAAGAATAATTTTTATTACACTCTCCTTCTATTCGGGTTTATATGCCCGTGACTGGTCTATTATGGGCACCCCGTGTCATCTGCCACGGTGTAGTGTAGATGTCGTGGGCATCAGTTGCTTAGTGTCACTTCAGCTGATTGGACTATCGGCCTTGCTTTGTTTTGCTATTAAAGTATCCAGCAGTGCTGCCCCGGGGAGATTCCAAATGACCACATCGTAAAGACAATCTAGAAAGCACGCATGCTCTCCTCGAAGGAAAAGTGTGTCCGGCAAAAGCACAGCTTCCGGGAGGTAGCGCTCTGTGCGATGCAGCAATAGGACTGCTCTATAAGGTCAATTATTCTTTCTTTTGGCACTATTGTCTCTTGGACGAAGACTGTGTCGCAGCCATTATTAAAGCAGCACGGTAACCGGCCACTTGTGTAAAGCTCTTTCTTCCACTGGCATGTTTTGGATTCCTTGCCATGGAACGCCGCTTCTTACTGCAGTGTTGACAATGGGAATGCTCTATTCATCCTTGAGAACAAGAAATCTTTCATTCTTTGGAGATCGTTCCGGTATGCGGTTTACTTCTTTTGGCGACAGCATAGATGACCCCAACTGATTTTGCTGGGTTAGAGTTGTCTCCACAGACGAACCGTGCCTGCCACTCGATGAACCTGTTACTGACTGGTTATTTGTTGTCCGGGACCAACATTCATATGCACACTGGAACGACAGGCGGTGGATTGGTGCATTCCAAGAACGACAGGCGGTGGATAAGTACATTCGACAAGTGCGCATAGAGGTTGCTGATTGATGGGTTGGCGAGGATTTCCCGGACTTCGTTGGAATATAGTGCGTCCATGTGAGTGACGTTGTAATCGCGGTGGGTCCGGTCTTGTGTGATTCGTGCCAGGGAGAACTAGGGCTCCACCTGTAAAAAGCTAGTCAACCCAAACTGTTAGAATTTCGACGCCCCCAAGACAGGATGTAACACATGGCATGCCTTCTCTAGGAGCTCTGACGTCATCAGTGGAGCCAGCAGGCACTGCTTCGTTTGTAGAGGCATTGTGAAAATGGTGCGACTAAGTATGTTGTTCCTGTTGAAGTTGTTGCACTTGCAGGCGCAGAAAGACGATGGTTTCTGGGTCGGCCATGGCGGGGCGGTTTCTTGAGTTTCCAGGCCACCAGATGAAAACAGATAGATAGACACATAGATAGATAGATAGATAGATAGATAGATAGATAGATAGATAGATAGATAAATAGATAGATAGATAGATAGATAGATATATGGATAGATAGATAGATAGATAGATAGATGGATAGATAGATAGATAGATAGATAGATAGATAGATAAATAGATAGATAGATAGATAGATAGATAGATAGATAGATAGATAGATAGATAGATAGATAGATAGATAGATAGATAGATAGATGGAGCCAGCGTTTTTATACCGCGCACATTCTCGTTCATACGTCAGCCTTTCGTGAAACTGGCTTTGCGTTCGTTTATTTTCATCTTCATTCTGCACATATATTCCAAATTCACCGCTGATCGGGCTGTTATCTTACGTGTTTTTTCACAATATCAAATTCAGTAGTTTTAAGACTTTTCTCTTAATTCTGCCAGAATTACAATGTTTCTATTCCTATCCCTATCGGAAAAAAACGAATGGTGGGCATGGTGTAAACCAGCACCCACCATTATAGTGGATTAATGTAGCGGGTGAATGGTGGAAAACACCCACCATGGCGCATAGTGGGATATGGTGGGTGCTGCAGTGCCGGCAACGCTTGAGCGCGAAACGACGTGAGAATCACCGTGATGAGCTGCCACAAAAAATAAAAAAGAATTCTATAAAAACGGTATAAAAAAACACCCGTCCCGTAAAAAAGAAACAAGGTATCACGGAGTATCCAACGGGCAACCTGCGCATTCCCATTCGGAGACACTAACCACTGCACCATACCAACATGAGGTTCGTTGTGTGTTACGTAGTTAGTTGTCATACAAACTTACGGTTCAACCAGTTATGTTTGTCGTGTACACGACATAGACGAGATCTGCACCTGCTACTAAAAATTGCACATTTATTAAACACAAGCAACTGCTGCCTGTAACGATTGTCGCTGTGTTAATAGCAGCAGTGTTATTTTTTTTTACAATTCACAACTGCAAGAAACAAAAAACCCAAAAGGACTGGGAAGCAGCAACATTTTATCGGCGGGGTCTGCCAAGTTTATTATCCGTTTCGCGCTCGTTCTAAAGGGCGACATCTGCTCACGCTTTATGACGCTTCTATGCTCATTCCATAGATACGCCCGCCTAATTTATTTGATTGAGTATTGGGATGCTTTTCGCGCATTGTAGAGGGTGGTCGTGCCAGTGCAATGCTAAAGCTCTTTCGCTAAAGCAACAACAACATAACGACATGGCCAAAACGAATGCAGTGTGCCGGAAACATTACGCTATCATATTGGTTCCCCAAGCATACGAGTTGCCACGTCTGAGTTCTCGCACAAAAGATAGAGAAGTGCCGGTGAGTGCGACCGCCGGCTGTCGGTGAGAAGAGACGTGCGTTCTCTGGGAGTGCCTGAATCGCGTCGCATCGATGTTTGTTGCTTCTTGAGCGGACACCATACACAATGAAAAGTGCTTCCTTTTGGTTAATTGATGCCATAGCTGCGCTGTATTGTCATTCTTAATCGTCGAAATCGTGTATTCTGAAACCCGGAAGCACAGATAACACAATTTTATGGGCTCAGTCGGTAGACCTGACCTTTGGTGGAAATCATGGTGGTAGAACAAGTAGTGTACAGATCCCAGCTTGGTATATAATTTGCCCGCCATTAAAAGCCCACCCATCATCTGCCTACTGCTTCCCAGCATTATCGCAATGGTGGGCAGAGCTTCTAAGCTTGGTACACCACGTGGCCCACCATAACAAGCAGCACCCATCATGTGCTTAGTGCTTCCCAGCATTATCGCAATAGTGGAAAGAGGTTCTCAGCTTTTTAAACCATGTGGCCCACCATAATAAGCACCACCCACCATATGCTGAGGGCTTCCCAGCATTATCGCAATAGTGGGCAGAGCCTCCCATTATTGCCCACTATCTAGAATCTGCTTTCAACCATCATTTCCACTTTACCAATCATGTGCACACCATACCACTCAGTATGTCCCGGCATATCCGCCTTATTTCCCACTACGTCCCACCATATTCATCATAATTTCCACCATGCCCACTATTATTTCCACTACGCCTACCATGTTTTCCAGTATCCACCATGGCAATTTTTCCAATAGGGATGCATCTATACTTCGCAGCAAAGTTAAAACGACAGCCATGTTTCTAGATTTTACGTGGTAATGATCTGTATGCTTAACTGATACTAACTTGCTCCCCTACGCATTACGAAAAAACTCTTTCATTGGTGTTAAAAACTTTGGATATTGTCGAATATGTCGTCTAACGTTACAGGGACATTCTTTCTTGTAGAAGCAAGAGGATTGCGCCTCCATCATACAACGCCAGTGCAGCTCGTGAGCCATCCTGCACGCCAGCCCACCACATAGTATTTCTGAAGATGCACAAAGCAGGCAGCTCCACTGTATTCAACATTCTTCTGCGTTACGCAGTCGAGGAAGGACTCATCTTAGCGCTACCGCATTCACCAATTCATTTTCAGCATAGCACCGCGAAGCTGTTCGACCCTGCACAGGTAATCGCAACTAGAGCATATAATCAGACCTGAGTGTAAAAACCTGAAAAAATTATATTCGTGGCGTGGTATGACGGTTTATTTTGCTAGCAGTGAAGACTTTGGAGTCGGGATAGCGCTGTCCGACACGACCGTAGATCTCGCGCACAGCAACTGAAGCCCGAGTGTCGTTTTTATCCTCTTCATTACAGTTGCCTCAGGTAGTCAAGACAATTCATACTGACCTATCAAGCGTTGGAATCATCAAGGGATCGTAATACACTTTTAGACTGCTTACGTGAATCGCATCATGACAGTGATGTCTGAGGTCGTGGGACGGTGTCACGAGCACAACTCTGTAGTCGACTGAGAATGTGCATTCTATGATGCGGTTGGGGCCATTATAGCGTGCAAGAATCTTGTTTGTAAGGTCAGGGCTATGAAGCGGTATTCAAAACCAAACCTGAAAATCAGTCGCTAAGTTGTGTGGAGTCATATAACTGTCATGTCGCAGTTTTTTTGCGAACTTGAGCGTCGTTTATAAGATTACAAGTGAGGTGTCTACAGCCCTCCACATATTTCGCCGCTTCAGACACCGGCGTGCATTCAGAAGCATCGGGTCGGTATGGAAGCAGGGGGTACATGGTAGAAGAGGACTCTCTTCTGTACAACAGAAAAAAATTTAAAAACATCAGTGATAGCTTGATTGGCAGTGTTATAGGTGTATGTGACAAATGGTAAAACGACATCCCAGTTCCTGTGATTCCATGCAACGTATGTATTTATCATGTCTCCGAGCATGTACTTGACCACTTTGTCAAGCCAATTGTTTGCGGCTGGTGTGGAGTACGCTTGGAGTGGACGATACTGCATGCAGCGAGAAGAGCTTAGATAACGGTGGAGAAAAACACGCTTTCTCTGTTGCTGAGCAGTTCGCGTGATGCTTCATGTCGAAGAACGAAATTCCGCAGAATGAAAAAACAAAAATCGGGAGATCCAACGTACCTGGGAAACCACGTTATGCAAAGCATGTGGAAGAAAGGTGACCGTGTAGCAATTTTTTTATTGGGTGACACGTCATGAATAGACGCTAAATTAATGCAGAAATGTCGCACACACAGACACATGCGAAACAGTTGCAGGTGTTTATATAACCAGCTCTTTGCACTTGCGCAATGATGCCAACTGGAACATGTGCATTAGCAGCACCAGAAGCTGATATGAAGGAATGATGCTCGCGAAGATGCTTGCCGTGGACACTGCTGCCTAAATCTCTTTAAGCGCATGGCAACTAACCACATCTGACGTTAACCCGACGCGACGGCTGTATCAAAATGATACTTATGTATTGTTTATAAAATTAGGTAGGCAGCACTAAAACCACTATTAAGGTTTCACGAATATGAGTGTCTATTTGAAAAGTAGTTCCGAGACCTGGCGTAGCTCTGTGGTAAAATGCTTCAATGGTACACAGAATACTTGGGTTCATTTCCAGCTGGGACTCGTCGGGTTGATGCTACCGACGTCGGGTATGTCTTAACATTCGCGTGTTAAATTTCCCCATGTGTGTTCTCGTCCTTCCTGAACAGATACCGAGTGTGAATCACCTTTGGCGCATACCCGCATACCAGCGGCACATAATCACCCGTGTTATGTGCCACTGTCTGGCAGGAAATGTTTGACGACGTACGCAACTAGATTGTGACATTATTCTTGTCTTGACAAGCGCATCGTATTAGTCAAACCATCCTACCCTTTCATGTAAGTTTTGGTTCACGCATAATAAATGGGGTGATCATAAGTGCACCCAAACGTAAGTGGCTAGATAGATAGATAGGGACATAGATAGATACGCTCAATGTCGCCGATGTACGCTAAGAAATGCTTCGCATTTAAAAAAAGACATCTCGGGTAGTAGCGGCTGGTAGCACTGCAGTATCGCCATAGCGTGTCAAATGATCGGCGCTGACAATGATCGACCTGTTACCTGAGGAATTGCAGGGAAGTGGGCCATATAGGGCTATTCTGGCGCGATCGAAAGAATGAGCGTGGCAGAGAAGCGGTTGTCACTCGCCGGAATGGCGCTTATGAACATAACGCTGCTGGCACACCATGCCAGAGCGATTGTAGTGGCAGACAAAGTTGTGCATTACATGCTAGTAAAAACGTTGCTCGAGTTGAGTGACCAATGTGAGGAGCAGCATGAAAGTATAAGCGCAGATGTCAGAGCGTTTGTGTTGTGGTATCACGGGCAGCCATTGACGACCATGGGGCATATAAATTCTGCGGCAAAAGCTGTTGTTGCGCACAGTCAAATGGGCGGCTTGGCGAAGAAGTGTTCTCGAAGATGGTGCAGCCGATGCATCATGTAAGTTTTCGAGCATAGCCGAAAGGCAAACAACCTTGCGCTGTTCGAGTGACATATCCAGGGTGTCGATGGGTGACATTGGTGATGTGTTGATCATTGACAAGAAAGCTGCATCAGAAAATAGCAGTGACCAAAACAGTGCATCGGCGTCAGTGCGTTTGTGTCCCAATCTCTACCCAGCGTGAATGTCACACTCGTGTAAGCAAAGAGCATTTCGACCAAGACGTAATGAAGAATATTTCAACGAAGAAAGCCAGCGAAGAACATGATGCCCGGTGACAACATCGAAAGGACTACCATATAGGTAAGAACAAAGTTTACCAAGAGCCCGATTGGTCGCTAAGCCCTCCTTTTCAGTCACAGAAGAGCTCACTTCCGGCTTTTTCAAAGTGGGACTAGCATACGCGACGGCGCACTCGTCATGGCCGTCCTTGCGCTGTGCTAGGACTGTGCAGTGTGCGATACCCGATGCCACTAGCGTCGGTATTGTTACGGGGAGAAGGCGTCTGAGAAATATGTTTACAATGGATAAACAGGCACGCATACAGTATGGAACTCAGTCTGCATGAGAGCTCAAACATCGTCTTCTTCTCTACCAAGTTCATTCGTGCCGCCACGTAGCAGTATGAATGACTGTAGGTGCTGTGGTATCGTACTGTCGAAGCCAACATATTTGCACAGCGCAAGACTTCGAGTAGTTACGACGAAACTACAGAAGAAGATACAAGAACAGAAAGAGCGCTGACTTCAACTGAAATTTTGTTAGCGAAAACGCTGGAAATATATACTCATGAGAGAACATCACCGCGCAATCGCGCAGCCTACTGCATCACAGCAAGACAATCATCATCTCATTATATGGTTACAACGCCACAGCTCAGCACAAATTCACGATCTATTGTGTCAAAGCCAGGAACTCGATTTCTTTTTTAGTCAGAGCAAGCGAAGGCATGCTGATACATCGATCACCCAACATTTGCGTTTGATTTGCCTCCATAGTCGCTCGTGTTAGCTGCTGACGGTATTTGGCTACAACAGTGCACTTCTTGAATTTCGGTAGGCAACCACAATCTATACAATGGATGCTCAAATGACCTTGTACAGCTAAGTATACATTGTAATGATGCTCCTTTAAGCGCTCATTCAGACACCAGCATGTTTACCCAAACTATATCTTGCCCCATGACAACGGGAGCAAATAAACGATGGCTATCAATGATGCTACGAATAGCCTTCTATGTTTGATTGTGCAGCAGCTCCTTCGTGCAGACTTCGCATTCACTCGTTTGCAGAGCGCTTGAAGCTTTTCTGGGGCAGAGAAAACAACCTTTACATCTACCTTATCACCAATCTTTTCAAATTGTGAGAAATCCTATGTAGATAAGGAATCACAGCCACGCGCTTTGAGCTTCTTGCCACGCAGTTCACTGGTGCTTCTCGTCCCTGTTTATTTGTCCTAAGCAACGTTTCCGTCAACGAAACCACACATGATTGGGGAAACTAGCGCTGATCAGACGGAAATCCCACTCAACGAGGCTGCTAATTGACAAGGGGCCGCAAGACTGTCGGAGGGCATTTCTTAAACAATGACTAGCAATTTCTCTCTTTACGAACTTCGAATGAGCCGGCAAGTACGGTAGAATAGGTTTGCTTCCTCTAGGCTCATATATCCAGCAAAGGTGATCAGTTGAGATGTTTAATCTCAAATTTAAAAACCTTAACGAAGCGTCCTGCGAAAGCTCATGCATTACCATAAGAGGTGTCATGCACTCATAAAAAGACGTATTATGTTTAAAACGGAAGCTTCGAAGTCCAGATCATCGCAGTTAAAAGCACAAGAAAATCGTCAACAAAATGAAACACCTTTACGACAGCCGTTCTGTCGAGGCGGCTACCCAAGAGTCGGTCATGATGAGTGAGAAAAATTTCACTCAAAACAAGTGCTATGCATGAACCGATGCACACTCCTCTTTTCTGAATAAAAGTGTCTTTGTTCTATAATACAGACGTTGTTTTTAAATAAAAGCTAATGAGCTCAAGAAATCCACTGACTGTTATGCCCGCCGCATTCGGAAATGCAACTTAACCAAAGTTGTCAAAGCAGTCCTCAACGCACCATAGTGGCGTGTCATGTGGTAAAAAGTAGTAATGATTCTTGATGTCAACGGAGAAGGCACTTAAGCCATTGCTGTTACGTGAAATAAATGAAATGATGTCATGAGAATCTTTCACCAGAAAAGGGTTGCCGATGGTCAGCAAGTTTAGCTTTTCTTGTAAAAACAAGGCCACTTCCTTCTGCCACGTCCCATTTTCCGAAACAATGACTCGAAGCGACCATTTCACTTTGTGATCTTGACCGTGAAGAATAAATCTGAGCTAACCTTCTTGTTTTTGTCTACAGATCTTGCAAGCATACTTATTTTCATTGCTTTGCACAACTTCTAAGCTTCAGTTTTTACTTTCGTCCGCGTTAAGTTGCTTCAGAATTCAAGCACGGCGCTAATAGCATTGCTGGCTTTTGAGCGGAGCACTTCATTCGGCAACACAGCAAAACCCTGATCTTTATCCGTGATCAACAAGGCTAGTGCATTCTTTTTGAAAAACGCAACAAGGAGAAAAGGCAGGTTATGGTGGTCTGGTGTAGACTGCGACA